ATCAAAGGGAAGTTTTAATATCCACTATGACCTTCTCCCTTGTTGTCTTTTACTCTTTTTCCTTGTCCTTTTGCCTTGCGCATGCATACTCATCGACCCCCCCCCCCCCCCCTCCTCCTTTTTTGTCTTTTTTTGTTTTAGGTCTTTCAATTGATAGGATAAACAACGCAACGCCAACCGAATAAAAACTCAGAATCCACAGTTGGTGCTGAGACGCCCTATCAATAGGAAGATCTAATAACGCACTGTCTCAGTCTCCCTTGATGATTCCCTCTTCCTACTCATTTCACAAGTATAGGAATAAAAGCAGATCAGGAGATAGAAAGACATTCAGATATGGGAGTTCTGTTTGGTTTTTCAAAAGATCCTTGACCGATAATAGTCCATGTTAACAGACATGATAGTTTTCGAATGATACGGGCAATGAGCCAGTCTGCGGATAAATCATTTAGGCGTGCGGTTGGCCCTGCGCTATTCTACCTGTTCTTGTCTGCCCTCTCTTTTTTTTTTTTTTTTTTTTTGAATAGGCATTTCTATTGAATAGCGCTACGACCAATCGGGTGCAATTCAGAACCCGTGAGTGGCATTGAGTTTCCTTATCAAAGGGAAGTTCTAATCCCCACTATCATACTCTTCCTTTGCTGTCTTCCATTCACCTTCCTTGACCCTTTGCCTCGCGCACATGCACACCTTTTCCATTGATAGGGTGAATAGCGCAATGCCAACCGGATGAAACTCAGAATCCATGGTTGGTGCTGAGATGTCCTATCAATGGGAGATCTAATAGCGCACTGTCTTGCCCTCTCTTAACGATTCCTTTTCCTACGCATTTCACAAGTAAAAGGTAGATCAAGAGATGAAAATAGAAAACACACAAAAGTGGGATTTCCATTGGGGTTTCTAATGATGTTTCTCCTTTCATTTAACAGGCAAATGATAAGGGAATAGGCCAAGAGATGAAAAATAGGAAACACATGTAGAAGAGTAGTTCATGTTTTAGGTAAAAGAATGCATGGAGTGAGATGCCTTTTGTCCTTCGCATGTCTTTCTAATTATAAGATGCACAACAAACCGACCGATCAGATGAATTTCAGAATCTGTGGCTGGTGTTGAAATACCCTATTAATGAAATATTATAAACTGGTGTTGTTACCCTATGCGTTGACGGCTCTCGGTTCTTTTATTGCAAAAACGCTTTTCGAGTAAAGGGATAAAATGAACAAGCATTTGAACTACAATTTCTTATTGAAGAGAGAAGCTAAACGAGTTAAGGAATTTCAACAGTAATAGATTTATCCTCCTTTGCATTGCCCTTTGCTCCCCTCCCCTTTCAATTTTATTTTTTTATTTTTTTACCTCGGCACAAGGTCCGCATGATGATGATTGCAGAATGATCAGAGAAGTTAAATAGTGATATGCCTGATTGTGGGAAACTTTGCACAGCGAGAGATGACTCCTTTACACCTCAACCAGATCTTCCGTTTTTTTTTTTTTTTTTTTTTTTTTTTTTTTTTTTTTTTTTTGATAACGAAAAAATAACAAGGATGCTGTGAAAAGGAAAATTTGCCAAGATCCATATTAAGATCCCCTCTCTCCTGCACTTTGTCCCTTTTTTTTTTTTTTTTTTTTTTACTTCGAAGCAATCACATAGTTAGCTGATGTCGTACCAGCATGGTGTCCATTCAGAGTCCCCGCCCCACCTTTTTTTTTTTTAACAAGTAATTATCATTAAAATTATTTTTTCCAGCCTTGCTAGGTGAGGGTAAATCATCCAGAATGCGTATATTCACTGTCCTTTATGCAAGTTGATAATTCCTAGTCCCGTCTTTTTTTTTTTTTTTTTTTTTTACAAATTAGACAGGACAAACTAGGAAGAAAACTTTTAGTATTGTCTTGCGATTTGGAAAAATCCCTGCTAACTGTGTCATGCATGCTGGAAGAGACACACATATTAACAATAAATTGAGTTCAAATCAGAACTGCCTTACTGGCAAATTGACCAATTATTACAAAATTCAGTCAAAATGGTAGAATACCGGATTGATCCCGATCATTGTTATGACAAACAGAGATAAGAATGAGATTTAGGGAGAAGTAGGAAGATGGTGAAGAGGTGGAGGAGAAAAAAGATGAAAAGAATCCCAAAGATTAACAGGTCTAAGTTCCTACAGATGCTCGACTTGCGCCTTTGTCTCGGTGTCTTAGGTGGCGGCAGGGGAGATGGTTGAAAGGGAGGAGTTTTAGTGGTTGAAGAGACGGGGTTTTGTTACAAGAAAGAGGGGTTGAAGAGGGAGTGACTGAGTACGGGATGGGGCGTCAGAAGAAGAAGATTCCTCAGGTTCAGTCTTTCCTGACTTCCTTTTTCGAGAGGGAGTCTGTTGGCTGCCTTCCTCGGCATTTCGAGCAACGATATCCCTGAAACTTATACGCTTCTTCCTTCCCTTAGACGAGCAAAAGAAGAAACGAGGGTAGTCAAGGTTATAGGGGGTAGAAGGTTTGAGGGGAAAGATCGGGTGGCGGATGTAATCAGGGAGATTGTCGAATGCCTCCTTCCGGATAAACCTAAACCAGGGACCTGGACCCCAGTCTGCAAGTTCCTCAATATGAAGAGCTGAGACCGCTTCTCCTCCCAACACAGTGAAGAAGTCCTTGAAGTGGGCAGCGATAGGGAAAGCAAGGAAGGGTGACGAAGCCAGACCAGAAAGATTTTCCACCAAGGTAAGAAGGCCCCTCCGGACCCAAGAGAAAACCGACCGATCATTCATGCATGCAATGCACATCCCAAGGCAGTAGTTAGCTGCTATGTCGCCTGCGCAGACCAGCTGGAATTCGGCCAGATCTAAACGTGTCATGAGCACTCGCGGTTAACGACCACCTGAAATTTCAGAATGAAAGATTCTGAAGTGGTCTGAAACCGTTGAAATGGCCAGAGACACTTCAGTCATTTCGGAAGTTTCGGGTAGTTTGGAGGACACGTTTTATGTTTTTTTTTTTTTTTTTCAACCTGTCTTTTCGGCCACTTCAGGTCATTTCAAGATTTCAGGTGTTAGAGACTTGAAACCTCTAAAGTGGCTGAAGCTTCGGAAAAGGGTTTCAGGTACCCCCATTCACCCATTTGGATGGAGTACCTAAAACCCCTTTCTTCAGGTAACCCCATTCACCCATTTGGATGGGGTACCTGAAACCCCTTTCAGAAGCTTCAGCCACTTCAGGTCATTTCAGGAATTTCAGGTGGGGAYCTGAAACCGCTGAAGTGGCTGAAGCTTCTGAAAGGGGTTTCAGGTACCCCCATCCAAATTGTTGAATAGGGGTACATGAAACCCCTTTCAGAAGCTTTAGCCACTTTAGGTAATTTCAGGAATTTCAGGTGGGGACCTGAAACCGCTGAAGTGGTTGAAGCTTTTGAAAGGGGTTTCAGATGCCCCCATCCAACCATTTGGATGGGGGTACTTGAAACCCCTTTCGGAAGCTTCAACCACTTCAGGTCATTTCAGGAGTTTCAGGTGGGGACCTGAAGTGGCTGAAAGTGACTTGTAAATAGTGTCTGTTGTTAACCATCTCTCGCTCTGAATAGCTCTCTTGGAGTAAGTGCAAAAAGTGGCCTCAATTCTACGAAGGTGATCTTGAACAACATCGCAAATAAAATATAATAGGAGAGGAGTTCCGCAGCACGCTTGCGTTTGATGACACAGAAAGACTTGTCCCCGTGCTGAAACTTGAATTTGGCGGCGTCAGTGCAGAATCGACTGATGTCCTCTGCGTTCAGTAAGTCACCGTACTTAAACGGTGTTTTCGTTATAAGTGAAATTGTTTTCATGTTCACTTTTTTTTTTAACTGTAAAATGGCAGAACGAAATGGGGAAATTATAGACGAAATAACGACAAAATAAAATAACGATAAAGCAAAATAACGACAAAGCAAAATAACGACAAAGCGAAATAACGACAAAGCAAAACAACGACAAAGCAAAATAAGGACGAAACAATGTTCATATTTCAAAGCTTAGCAATGCAAATTCGAAGGAACGACAAAACAATGCTCAAATATGAAAAGTTGAAGGAAAAATTTAATGTGACAGTCATGATTATACACGTTCAAAATAATCATGCTCCCGTGTTGCTCGTGCACAAAATATAATACAATGTCAAGTTTTTACCTCGAATGTTTACACTCAGTAAACATGTCAATCTTATCAAAAAAATATTAACTACGGACTACAGCTTTAGTCGCACCTCATTGACTTTCCTATCTAACCATGGACAAAATGTCAAATGCTATTATAAGCCTCATATCAGAAATATTGGCTTGTGAGAAAGCAAATGGAGGGAAGTGACCTCTTGCAAGGAAAGATGCAAAACCTAACATAAAAACACCACAACTACAAGGATCCTCTTTAGCAGGAATCCCATCTACTGATGTATCAAAGGAGGATGTAGGCCCGTCCACATGATATCTTTCGTGAAGATTGTGTCGATGAAATTCCGCTTCGAAAAAATCTTCCAAACGTTCAATGACTGAAACATGGTCAACATGAGGGAGAGAGTCTATGAGGTGGAATTTACAGTCCGGACCGTCTATGCTGACATAAGCTAAGGCCAGTAATTTCCAAAATGAAGAGGGATAATCACTAAGTCATAATCAATCAGATTTGTGTCCTTCACTCATTTCATCCCTTCGAAATATGCGGTTTCAAACCTCGAAGGACCTGACAATCGAGTGAAGAAAAATGAATAGAAAATGTACACAAAAGGAACACTACAAGAGTTTTCATGATCTCTTGTCACTTCTGTACATGTCAAATCAACCTTGATGTGGTCATTGGTGATCTGGACGGCTAGCAGGTACAAATTGACGACTTCGTCATTTAGCCATTTCCCTTCCTCGATGACGACCATGATGTCTTCCTTTCCCACCTTCTAGCCCCCCTTGTGATCGACAATGCCGTATGCTTCATTGTCTTCGTTGTTGCCTGTAATCATGTCAAGATACTCCTTTTCTTCTACGGTGAGGCGTTTTGTTGCTAAAGGAATCTGGAACGAACGGTCATGAACTGCATACAAACACACATATAAACAACAATGGAACGACTAAGACTTCATACAAAAACGAACTTTTCGTTATGTGATGTACGACGTAGACCCGAGTTCATGTTTTTGGTTGTCTATCTGTTTCACTATCAGAATTGTCATCCACAATAGATAAACTGCAACCTTAGCGATGCAATTTCTTCCCTTCTTTGAGGCTTATTCCAACAGCTTTAAACATCCTTAGGGCAGCTGGCTTCATAGATGGAAATGTCATGGGTGTAAGTCTTCTTCTCTCTTTTTTGGGCAATAACGGCAAAGTCGACAAGGCTTGCAAGCCACGACGAATAATATTATTCTCACTCTGCCTTTGCGAACGTACGTGCGTCGTTTTTCACAGTTCTTTTCGTCGCCCTGCATGTTCAGCAATATAAAACGACAATGATTGACAAGACAAAACATTATGAGTTTAAGTTCAATTTTTCACATAATTGCAAATAAGAGATACACAATATTCTACTTCATTTCTTCTCATTACTGAGCGCACGGTTGCAAACCTAGGCAAAAACTTAGTTCCTATGAGATGAGTGCATGTACCCCCTAATCCGCATACAGTATTAGATATTCCCTTAGAGATAAGTACGTGCTCATCTCGGTGGCTCACTAACGCTTTGTCTTCAACACGACCTTCTATCGCACCATGCGATGATGTAAAAGGATATTCGTCGATAGATATTACGAGGTCAGCAGACTGTTGTTCTTCTGATTTTGCAACCATAAGTTCAGGCTGTACAAGCGTATGTTGCTCCCGTGTACTTAGTACTATATGTCCTTCATCCTCTTCGATGGCATGTACATGGACAGTTTCCTTTGCACCTACAGTCACGCTTTCATTCTTAATGTCCAGAGAGACTTCATGATCATCTTTCTCAGCTGGCATATCCAACGATGGCATCTCTAATTCTGCAAGTGCACCAGTATTATCCACTTGAGCAGTAACACTCTCGCTCGCCATCACAGTGGTCGCCCAAACTTGGTCATCCGGAAGGACGTCCTCGACACGTTTCGGCAGTTCTCCATGACTTACGCCTTTGACGCTTGCACCGCCGCTTCCTCCCAAATCCTGCTCACTTGCATCGCCTCTCGATCCCCTGCCATGTGTACTGCCACTTGGTCCTAATCTCAGAGGCGAACCCGATCCCCTGCAATGTGCACCGCTAGTTGGTCCTGATCCCAGAGGCGAACCCGATCCCTTGTCATGTGCACCGCCGCTTGGTCCTGATACCTTTCCCTCTGTTGCTTGACGCCCTTGACACATCTCGTGTTTTTACAGTTCACCATGACTTATTGGCTTTCGACTTGCACCGATGCTCGGTCCCAGGCCCTTGCCACTGGCACCGCCCCGTGGTTCCGATCCCTTGTCATGTTCACCACCGCTTGATCTTGTTCCCTTGCCAAGCGCACCGCCACCTGATCCTGATCCCTTGCCACTCTCGTCGCCGCTCGCTCATTTCCTTTCCCCAGATTTATCTTGAAGTTCCTCTTCGATACTCCAATTATATCCAAAAGCTGGACTTGTTTCTCGATCATAGAACTCTTCCAGATACTCAAGCCATCGAGATGTTTTGAACTCCTGAAAAATTTCTTCTGTCCTTGCATCCAGTCTTGATTGAGAAACCTTCGGATTAAGTCGCAGTAGTCGCTTGCCAATCTGATTTCTGGCGTGTGTGACAAACTTTGATTGTGACATACGGCTGTGGAGGCAAAATTGTCACTCCCCTTCTTCTTTTATAGCCATTACCCAGTTCCCTCTCACCAATGCAGGTTGGAAGTGGTGGGGGTGCCATATAATGTGATGACCCCATACGTTGTCAGGCATCACCGTATAATCGTCTCGCCACACAATAGGTCCAGGAAACCGTGCAATGTCCAGAGGGATGATGTTTTCAATCTCGTACTCCAAAGGCTCAGACGGAGGTTGTTGAGGAGTTTGAGAGCGTAGCAATTCCAAAACCGTAGTCGGGCAATGTGCAAGTGCTGACAGACTTGCCATAACCTCTGGGGAGAGCATTGCCTGCACCCTCGGATCATCCCGAACTGCGCAGGAAGATAGCGCTGTTGTGTTGCCTGCCATGTAACTGGTCCGTTGAAACTGGTCCGTTGTAACTGCCATACTTGAAGCCCCCCCAGAACCGGACGATGTGCCCGGCGCACCCATCTTTTGCGAAGCCGAGCTACAAGTTTTTTGCCTCTCATCTGCCAAAGCCGCTTGCAAAGTACCATCTTTACTTTCTTCCTTTGAGTCATTTGCATCGAAGCGTTCCCCAAAACAAGTTGCATAAGCTCCGATTGTAAACGCCCCGATGTGTTCGTCGAAGTACATCATCTCCAAACGGTTTAGAAATGCAACTTCCGTCTCCGCCGGTGCCTTATGATACCTCCTCAGAAGTGATTTCATTTTTCGCCTTCTGGCGACATATGCACGTTCCCCTCTGTTTTGTGGCTTAGTCTCGAAAAGGAACTCTCAAATGTTAACGATGTTTTGGCCGACTTTGTAGACGAGATCACGCTTTTCATCATGTCGAGGAGGCGGCTTAACAAATTTGGCGAGGTAACCTCCACTCTTGAACATCCTGTTGACGAATTGAACGAGAAACTCGAACTTCATACTCTCCCCTTCCAGAACAATGCAATGACGGTGACTCTTTAACAACTCCCAAATCAACGTCGCATGACCTTTTCCGAGGAAAACAACTGCCTCATCCGCAGGACAAAAATGCCCCAATGTCTCCACCATCACATTTGGTTCTCTTTTCATACCTTCGTACACAAATTTCTCTTTTGGCTCCATACCTGCCATTTTCAACTTCGTGGGCGTGAAGTTCTTCTCCACGACATCAGCCAACATCTTTGGCCTTCTCTTTCTGCGCACAAGTGCTGATAAGTCACCCGCCTGCTCGCCAGATGATCGATCTGCAGCTGGAGTGTTTGCTAGAATGTCTTCAAGCAAGGGAATAGTGTTGCGGTGATAATCCCCATCGTTGGAGTACATGATGACAACCATTATGTCTGTGTTCTCCAAAGGCAAGTTCGCAACCTTATATGAATGTTTCGCCTTCGTTTGTTGCTAACGAGTCCACTTTAGAATAGACAAGTGAATGTCAATCTCCCAACGTGTAACTCGCTTGAAAAATTTATACTCGCAAGACCGCGAAACGAAGCACAATAATGTCCAATAATCACCAGCTAGTTTTCCCATGAACTTTCGTAGACCATCAAAGACTTCTTCAGTCCACGCCCCTATCTGGGTTGGGTGACACAAATCCAGCACGGCTGTGTGGCAACTCAAAAGTTTGACGACTCTATATATTTCCTTGGAATCCGTCTCGTCTGAAATATCGCTTGGCTCCCATTGGAACGGGACGAAAACAGAGTTCACGTTCTGTTTTGAAAATATATATATTTCGCCGTGCCCGACATTCTTATGCTCTGCGAACCGCAGTTCGCACCAAGTGATGTTGTTTTCTTGAAGCCCTCTTCTCCTTTTTCCTCCTCTCCTCCAAGTGTAGCCGGGAACGTTCGCACCCAATTCATCTCTTTGAAATGGCGACGCTGGTCGATCCACCTCTCGGACGTCAATCCTTCATCACAGTACTTATCAAACAAATCGGAAAGGTTGTTGAAGAATGGTTTCGTCCACTCTGACGACTTTCTGTGAGGGTCAGAAATGAAGACGAAGTAGTGAAATATCCTCAACATTGCTCTTTCAATCTTCACCATTTCCTCGTATGTCTCCGTTGAATGTTTCCCGGCACGTTGAGCAGCTCCACTTTGCTTAGGAGTCAATATTACATTGCCTGTGAGAATGTCTCGCAACAGCTGAAGCCGCTCACGCCTCCCAAGGGCTGAAAAAGGCTTCCACGCTCTGATATGCGGATCGTGCACAACCAGGAGGTAACCCGGTCCTTTGGTACCCTGAACCCAGTGAACCGGATACCTAACTCCACCTTTCAACTCAAATCCGAGTTCAGCCCTCCATGCCTTCCCTGATTCACCTTGTTTGGTAGCAGGCTTCACAACATATCTCCCCGGCAATTGTCCATCTTCCCAAGCGGCGTACACTTGTTTCACCTTTTCGAAAACGTCATTTGTCACCCTTGCCAACAACATGTAGGGCCCGAGGGCGTCAGACCACTGGCCGCTCCATTGAGTAGTAAGGGACATGTCAACCAAATTACGAATCCCCATCAAACGAAGAGCCTTTCCTGCAAACTTTCTATAATCTACATTTTTCACTTGTGGCGCTGAACCGCCTTTAGCTTCAGGACAGTTCGATTCGTGCCACAACTTCTGTATGTTCTGGATGACCACGATCTAGTGCGGTGGGGTATTCCATTTGTCCTTGGCGTTTTGGAAAGTGCTCAGCGTACCGTAATTGTTCATGCTCTTATCCGGATAATAAACAGGCCTCGCAGTCCAACGATCCAATCGGAGCTCTTGTGCGATGTCAGGGCGTTCAACAAAACACCTTCTTGCCGCCGCCACGTTATGCTGACCGCTGAGAGGGTAGTAGTAGTACTTGTTCACAGATTCGAGGTCGAATTCATCGGGCAACACCCTCCTTGCTCTCACAATCCTCCCTGAAGCGTCGGTATGCAATGTATCACGGAGGGCAACCAACAAAAGGACAGGCTTCTCATACAATGTACAAACATTCACACCGGTAGCTCCAGTCGTTCTCTCTCTCATAGCAGCCTCACCCGATGCAACCATTGCGTCATAAATGTCATCAATCGTCTGCTGCACAAGATAGTGTTGATTATATTTGAATTCCCCGTTGGGGATATCCAGAATTCTGTCGAACTGGACATAAATTAATTCCATGTCTGGACACTGGTTCCCACGCTCGTCCAACTCAAGGAAGAAGCCTTTGCTGAGAATACCAGAAGAAGTCACCGATGACACATTTCGCAAACTTGGCGGCCTAGTAACTATCTTGCCTTTGGCCTCTTCATCCGATTGTGGTTGTTCCGCTGGAAAAACGGAAGTCTTTTCCATGACACCACCTTTTGCCTTTCTTTTCTTTGGCTGCTGGTTTTTCTTCGTGGTCGCCTCAGTCTTCCGTGTTCGCTGGACCGCCTCATCCACGGGCAATATTTTCAATTGTCTTTTTTTACCCGCTTTTTGCTTACTCCGTTTACTATCCATAGCACTTCTCCTCTTCTGCATGTGCTTCCTCTTTTGCTCGGCGAGCCATGCAGCATCTGTATGCCCACCCATAGCCACTGTCGCGTGATGCACCCCCCTCTTGTTGGATGCACATCCCCCTCACATCCTTCGTAGCTGCTCCCATATCCTCCTGCCAAACCAACCTCTCCACCCAATTCGCTCATAGTGTGCTCACTGTCTTCATTTTGTCCCACCACTTAACTTGTCTCTTCTGGATGCCTCGTCATGCCACCGACACCAGCAACATACTGTTCCTATCCTCCTGCTCGTTCCGAATATTCCTCGTTGTTCTCTTCATCCTCATCTTCAAAATACTCATGGGCTTCCTCCGCGCGGCTTGGCACAGTGTAGTCATAGCGCTGCTGACCCACCAAGGGGAGAGGTCCCTTGGTGGCCGCAACATAGCGAGGTCAGCTGCCCAAGGCAACTGGTGTTTTGGTCACCGTTGGCCTGGTCTTCATAGGGGCTGACGGCACGACCAGTCCGCGGCATGGACCCTTCTCTCCAATCTACCCAGCTTTCAAACCAGGCGGCGTATCGCGGATCGTGATCGAAGGCCCTGTCTCCACGGTTCTCGAAAACACTCATTTAGGCTCCGATATGCGGTCTTCTGGATGCAGAACCGGCTCTTCGCCCGCGATCACATTACTGTCAAAAAACCCGAGGACGTCAACGAGGTTAGGCAACTTCACTTCCGTTGTCTCTTGTGGGTTGAACACACCAACCAGCGACTTTCCAAACCCCGCGTGTTTGGCCCATCGAAGAGCGACGTGTTTAACATTCGGTATTATTTCCCCTTTTCCATTCAGGACCATCGTCAACTCGAACGTTGCAGACAGCGCATTTTGTCCAGTCCACCTCACCAGGCCGCCAACCGGCACAATATTTTCTTTGATGACCGCGTATAGAACAATGTCACTCGATGGTTGTCCGATCTCCCCCACCCAGTCCAACATCCAGAACTTGTCCGTGTGATCAACCACAGGCACATCGTCTCGTCGTTTCACCAGACAATTTACGTTCACCAGACGGTTTACGTCCGGGCACAACCTCCACTGCAGATTTTCCCTGCTGAGGACCAGGCACACGTTCCTGACCCGCAGACCCGCCAGTCATCAACACAGCCTTATCCGGT